TTAGGGTTCAGGGTTTAGGGTACCCACAGGGTCATACCCTACCCCTGGTTTCGGGTACCTACTTCTCCATAGAACAGATCCTGACCATAAACTAGGTACCCAAGAAACAGGGGTAGTGTATGACCCTGTCGGTAAGGCTCCATGTATCTATGTAGTATATGCTTAGTATGTCGGCCTTAAGGGGGTTCCTATATAGCTACTTTACGGCCTTAGTATGCAGTATGTAGGTACATGGAGCCTTTGGGTAAGGTNNGTACCATAAGGGTTTAGGGTTTGGGGCACTGTCAGGGTTTGCTATGTCAGGGCTTCTTTAAGGGGTACTATCAGGGTACTGCAGAGGTTACTATCAAGTTACCGTGGGGGCTAGGAGGGTTGCTGTAAGGTCGCTGTTCATAAGGGTGCTACTATTCTTAAGGGTCACCATACAAGTACAGAAAAGGTGACTATATGGGTACTAAAGCATATGTTTGTGAAACAGTTTGGAGGACGCGCAGCTGCTGGACTTTCGGCGATTAGTAAGCGTTTCAATTACACTGTCTGAGTCTGGGTCCGGTTCCGGGTCGGGTTGCGGACTTTAGGGTTCGAACAGTTTGGCTGTCAGGATGTACGACTTTGGGGTGTGGGATTGCCCAACACCCTAAACCCGAGGAAGTTGGCTTTGGTATCTAAGGTTTAGGGCACGCTCCGTCTACAATGCAAGCATGATTGCATCACAGTTCAGGTGGAACTGTCGGAATGGAATCATCCCGGAGATCCGAACTAACCAGGCGCACTGAATGGCAACATTTCAGCCGCAAGCGTCTACAGAAAGCCCTTGTAGACCATGAAGCGATCTGCTGAAAATCGCACCAGCACCAGACTCGTCATGCAGGTGCCCCAAGACTATACTACAAATAAAATAAGGACCCNNCCCCCCCCGCAAAAAAAAAAAATAGTATAGATAATTGTGTAGGGCCCTGCTGGTACATTAAATGAAAGCCTTCAAGACCAACACAAACAGTCAGAAACTGTACGTTTTCACGACGGGCTTGTTGGCCAATCTTCGCGAAGGTCGGGATGGGAGTGTCGGGGCAACATGTACAGACGGCTAGGGGTTTAGTGCTTGTTGGGTTTAGGGTTTAGGGTTTAGGGTCTAGGGTTTAGGGTACTTTTACAAATGCTAAACCCGAAACCCAACACCCTAGGCCCAAGCAATCCCTAATTCACCGACAGAGCTGATATCGGGATTTCGTTGGTGCTCCGGATGGACTTCTCAGGCTTGTGGCATCGCCAAGAACAGAACGACACGATCTTCGTGGTTCAGGGATGAAGTTTATAGGGTTTATAGGGTTTAGGGTTTAGGGGGTTATTGTGTGCTCACAACCTAAGCCCCAAAGCGCTGAACGAGAGGCATTTGCTCTTTTTCCGCACAAGCTTGCGTCTGCCTACCTACGGCCACCGCAATCACAGCGCTTCACGGACTTCATCGGCAAACCCGCTCGCAGCACCGATTGGTTGCGCTTTGTATCATAGATTGCCCAGGTCCCCCGCGGGCAGGCGTAAGTCATGGGCGCGACCCATTCAAGCAGGTTGGACTGCGCAGCTTTGGGCCGCGGCTCCTTGTACATGGATCCGGTGTACAGCTTCTTCTCATAAAGGCCCTTCCCATAAGGGCAAACACGAGTATAATTCAATTCGATGCAGGAACCAGAGGACGAGTTCTTCGAGCAATGACTTGTCCACTGCTTCTGGGCCTGGACTCTGGACCATGTCCAAACCATCTCAGTCTCGTCGTCATAGGTGTCAAAATCATCTTCAGCTTCCGGATCTATGGATCTGAGGGTTTTAGGCATCTTGTCCTCATTGTCGTAGCTTTGTCTCGGCATCGCCATCAGCTGACGACCGCCCTGGTCACTCTGCCGGCTTTGTGGCATCAGGGCTTACGGTTTCTGCAGTGTCTTCGTTAAAACGGTTTAGGGTTTAGGGTTTAGGGCTTAGGGTGTAGGGTTTAGGGTTTAGGGTTTAGGGAGCTGCAAGCTAGTTTAGCCACAGTTACCCCACCTCAGGCTTCACATGGAACCCTAAACCTAAACCCCAAACCCTATGCCCCACCTCAGTCTTCACATGGAACTATCTTCCTGCCTCCTAAACTCTAAACCCTAAACTCTAAACCCTAAACCCTAAACCCTGAACCCTAAACCCCAAGGCCACGACTTCAAGCAAACCGGGAGCTGCCACAGCCATGGCCACACCAAAGTGTTTCCAGCAAAGCCAATCCCTATCTTCAACTACCAGAACCTGCTTTAGGGTTTAGGGTTTGGGTTTAGGGGGTTTAGGGGTTTGCGTTTAGGGTTTAGGGTTTAGGGTTTTAGGGTTTAGGGTTTAGGGTTTAGGGTTCAGGGGTTTGGGTTTAGGGTTTAGGGTTTAGGGCCTATAGTCTCCATTGCAGTTCCTTT